CAGATATGTCATTTGCAAATATCTTTTCTCATGTTATAGGTTACCTTTTGATTTTGTTCATTGTGTCCTTCACCATGCAGAAGCTTTTTATCTTGACGGAGTCTCAGTAGTTTATTTTTTAAAAATTTTTATTTTTTTTTACATTTCTTTTCAGTGTTCCAGAATTCATTGTTTATCCACCACACCCAGTGCTCCATGCAATACGTGCCCTCCATAATACCCACCACCAGGCTCACCCAAATTCCCACCCGCTTCCCCTCCAAAACCCTTGATTGTTTTGCAGAGTCCATAGTCTCTCATGCTTCGTCTCCCCTCCAATTTCCCCCAACTCCCTTCTTCTCTCCATCTCCCCATGTCCTCCATGTTATTCCTTATGCTCCACAAATAAGCAAAACCATATGATAATTGACTCTCTGTGCTTGATTTATTTCATTCAGCACAATCTCTTCCAGTCCCGTCCATATTGATACAAAAGTTGGGTGTTCATCCTTTCTGATGGAGGCATCATACTCCATAGTATATATGGACCACATCTTCCTTATCCATTCGTCCATTGAAGGGCATCTTGGTTCTTTCCGCAGTTTGGCGACCGTGGCCATTGCTGCTATGAACATTGGGGTACAGATGGTCCTTCTTTTCACGACATCTGTATCTTTGGGGTAAATACCCAGTAGTGCAATTGCAGGATCATAGGGAAGCTCTATTTTAATTTATTAAGGAATCTGCACACTGTTTTCCAAAGTGGCTGCACCAACTTGCATTCCCACCAAGAGTGTAAGAGGGTTCCCCTTTCTCCATATCCTCTCCAACATTTGTTGTTTACTGTCTTGTTCATTTTGGCCATTCTAACTGGTGTAAGGTGGTATCTCAATGTGGTTTTGACTTGAATCTCCCTGATGGCTAATGACGATGAACATTTTTTCATGTGTCTGTTAGTCATTTGTATGTCTTCTTTGGAGAAGTGTCTGTTCATGTCTTCTGCCGATTTTTGGACATGATTATCTATTTTGTGTGTGTTGAATTTGAGGAGTTCTTTATAGATCTTGGATATCAGCCCTTTTTCTATTTTGTCATTTGCAAATATCTCTTGCATTCTGTGGGTTGCCTCTTTGTTTTGTTGACTGTTTCCTTTGCTGTGCAGAAGCTTTTGATCTTAATGAAGTCCCCCAATTTCATTTTGCTTTTGTTTTCTTTGCCTTTGGAGACATATCTTGAAAGAAGTTGCTGTGGCCAATGTCGAAGAGGTTATTGCCTGTGTTCTCCTCTAGGATTCTGATGGATTCCTGCCTCATGTTGAGGTCCTTTATCCATTTTGAGTTTATCTTTGTGTATGGTGTAAGAGAATGGTCAAGTTTCATTCTTCTACATATAGCTTCAATTTTCACAGCACCATTTATTGAAGAGACTCTTCTTTTTTCCACTGGATATTTTTCCCTGCTTTGTCAAAGAATTTGACCATAGAGTTGAAGGTCCATATCTGGGCTCTCTACTCTGTTCTACTGGTCTATGTGTCTGTTTTTATGCCAGTACCATGCTGTCTTGGTGTTCACAGCTTTGTAGTAAAGCTTGAAATCAGGAAATGTGATGCCCCCAGTTTTTTCTTTTTCAACATTTCTTTAGCAATTTGGTGTCTTTTCTGATTCCATACAAATTTTAGGATTGTCTGCTCCAGCTCTTTGAAAAATGCTGGTGGAATTTTGATTGAAATTGCATTGAAAGTTTAAATTGCTCTACAGCAAATATCATCCTCAATGGGAAAAAGCTGACAGGCTTCCCTTTGAGATCAGGAACATGACAAGGATGCCCACTCTCACCACTCCTGTTCAACATAGTATTAGAAGTCCTAGCAACAGCAATCAGACAACAAAGAGAAATAAAAGGTATTCAAATTGGCAATGAAGTCAAAGTCTCTCTCTTCGCAGATGACATGATACTTTATATGGAAAACCCAAAAGTCTCCACCTCCAAACTGCTAGAACTCATTCAGCAGTTCAGTAATGTGGCAGGATGAAAAATCAATGTACAGAAATCGTTTGCTTTCTTATACACTAACAATGAAAATACAGAAAGGGATATTAGAGAATCAATTCCATTTACTATAGCAGTAAGAATCGTAGGATATCTGGGAATAGACCTAACCAAAGAGGTAAAGGATCTGTACTTGAGGAACTACAGAAACCTCATGAAAGAAATTTAAGAAGACTCAAAAAGATAGAAGACCATTCCACGCTCATGGATCAGAAGAATAAACATTGTTAAAATGTCTATACTACCTAGAGCAATCAATAGTTTATTTTGCTTTTGTTTCCCTTTCCAAGGGGACTTAGCTAATAAGAAGATGCTTTGGCCAATGTCAAAGATGTTGCTGCCTGTGTTCTCCTTCAGGATTTTAATGGTTTCCTGGGTCATAGTTAGGTTTTTGATCCATATTGAATTTATTTTTGTGTCTGGTGTAAGAAAGTGGTCCAGTTTCATTCTTTTGCATGTTGCTGTCCAGTTTTCCCAATACCAGTTGTTGAAGACACACTCTTGTTTCCATTGGATATTCTCTCCTGTTTTGTTGGAGATTAATTGACACTATAGTTGTGGGTTATTTCTGGGTTTTCTATTTTGCACTACTAGGTTTACCTGAAAGATAGAAAAACACCAATATGAAGGAATACATGCACCCTGGTTTTGATAGCAGCATTATCAGTGATAGCCAAATTTCGGAAACTACCTAAATGCCCATGAACTAGGGAAAGGATCAAGAAGATGTGGTATATATATTTGCAAAGACATGGATGGAACTAGAGAGTATTATCCTAAGCAAAATAAGTCAGTCAGAGAAAGAAAACTACTATATCACTTTATTCATATGTGAAATTTAAGAACCAAAAAACAAATGAACATGATGGAAAAAAACCAGAGAGACAAACCAAGAAACAGATTTATTTATTTATTTATTTATTTACATGTAAGGTACTATTTGTTTCAGGGGTACAGGTCTGTGAATCATCAGTCATACACAATTCACAACACTCACCATAGCACATACCCTCCCCAATATCCATAGCCCAGCCACCCTATCCCCTCTCCCCCGCTCCAGCAACCCTCAATTTGTTTCTTGAGATTGAGAGTCTCTTATGGTTTATTTCCCTTTCCAGTCCCATCTTGTTTCATTTTTCCTTCCCTTCCCACCACCCCCACCCTGATTCTCAAATTCCTCACATCAGAGAGATCATATGATAATTGTCTTTCTCTGATTGACTTAGTTCACTTAGCATAATATCCTCTAGTTCATCCACATTGTTGCAAATGGCAAGATTTCAGTTTTCGATGGCTGCATAGTACTCCACTATATATATATGTGTATATATATACATATATATATGTATATATATATATATATATACATAGTACTCCACTATATATATATATGTATATATATGCATATATAGATCTATATATATAGCTCTCTCTCTCTATATATGTGTGTGTATATATATTCCCCCACATTTTATTTATCCATTCACCTGTTGGTGGACATCTAGGCTCTTTCCATAGTTTGGCTATTGTGGACATTGCTGCTATAAACATTTGGGTGCACGTGCCCCTTCAGATCACTACATTTGTATCTTTGGGTAAATACCAAGTAGTGTGATTGCTGGGTCTTAGGGAAGCTCTATTTTCAACTTTTTGAGGAGCCTCCATACTGCTTTCTAGAGTGGCTGCACCAGCTTGCATTCCCACCAACAGTGTAGGAGGGTTCCCCTTTTTCTGCATCCTCACCAACACCTGTCGTTTCCTGACTAATTTTAGCCATTCTGACTGGCGTGAGGTGGTATCTCACTGTGGTTTTGATTTGTAAGGAAACAGACTCTTAACTAGAAAGAACACACTGATGGTTACCAGAAGGGAGCTGGGAAGGGGGATGGGTTGAATAGTTGATGGGGATTAAGGAGGCACTTTTGATGAGCACTGGGTGTTGTATGGAAGATTAAATCACTAAATCCTATACCTGAAACTAATATTACACTGTATTTTAACTAACTGATTTTTTTTCCACTATGAAAAATTTTTTAAAAAGAAGGAAAGGAAAAGTGAATTGGGGTAAATCAGAAGGGGAGACGAAGCACGAGAGACTGTGGACTCTGAGAAACTTACAGGGTTTTGGAGGGGAGAGGGAGGATGGGTGAGCCTAGTAGTGTATTAAGGAGGGCATGTATTTTATGGAGCACTGGGTGTGGTGCATAAACAATGAATCTTGGAACATGAAAAAACAAATTAAGATGTTAAAAAAAAGTTGAAGTGAAAAAAAAGTGAGAGGATAGTTAAAATGTAATTTGCATTCAGGCTTACCAGTTTGGGTGAAAAGTTAGGTACCAGAATTAGAGAGATAAATTTGCTAAATTTATTAAATTAAATTAAATTAAATTAATTTAAAATGTATTAAATTTATTAAATTTTAGGGAGATAAAGGTGCTAAAGATAAATGCTATATCTCCTACATAAGAAACTGGGACATCAACAGTGCTACTCACTAAGATATGAGAAAAGAGGAACACTCTTTTCTTGCTCTGACATTTGCAAAATAATTACATTTTATAGGTGAATTTGCTGACCAACTAAAAGAGTGTGTTCACTATATCAAGCCAGGAAGATTTGTACAGGATCAAAGGGTCACATCACTTTAGAACCAGATCTATTCCAAACTTCCAAACTTAAATGCAAGAAATTTCAGAGCTTGAGTTTAAGAGTAACCTCGCCAAGCTCACATAGATAAAAATATATGAAGCATCACTGTAAAAGGATCTACAACAAAGACCAGATTACTTGACTCTAATGTTTACTGTATTTACCCATTATTTTAAAGTATTAACATAAATTATTTCCCTTTTAAAATTCTGTATTTATATAGATTGTATTGACAAATTTCTCCTGCTCCTCTTCCTCTTCCTCCCCATCCTCCTTCACCTACCTCTACTCTTCTCTTTCTAGGACTTGGTCACTGAGGGACTATGGACCAAAACAATTACACTTCTCTACACAGTTTTGTTCTGCTTGGTTTCTCTGACCATCCCAAACTGGAGATGGTCCTATCAGGAGTTGTCACTATCTTCTACTTCATTACATGGCTGGGTAACACAGCCATCATCCTTGCATCTCTGCTGGATCCCCATCTTCAAACACCAATGTATTTTTTCCTTAGGAATTTATCTTTCCTGGATCTGTGCTTCACAACTAGCATCATCCCTCAAATGCTGGTTAACTTGTGGGGACCTCACAAGACCATCAGCTATGTGGGCTGTGTCACTCAACTCTATGTTTATATGTGGTTGGGGTCCTCTGAGTGTCTCCTCCTTGCTGTTATGTCCTATGATCGTTTCATAGCTATCTGTAAGCCCTTGCATTACTTGGTAATCATGAACCCACATTTCTGTCTCAAGATGGTAATCACAGTCTGGAGCATTAGTTTGGCCAACTCTGTAGTATTATGTACACTCACCCTGAATTTACCTCGATGTGGAAACAATCTTCTGGATCATTTCTTGTGTGAGTTGCCAGCTATGGTCAAAATAGCTTGTATAGACACCACAACAGTTGAAATGTCTGTTTTTGCTTTAGGCATTGTCATTGTCCTTACACCCCTCAGCCTTATTCTTATATCCTATGGCTACATTGCCAAAGCTGTGCTCACAATAAAGTCAAAAGCAAGCCAACAAAAAGCAATTAATACCTGTGGATCTCATCTCACTGTTGTGTCCATCTTCTATGGAACTATTATCTACATGTACTTACAGCCAGGTAACAGTGCCTCCCAAGACCAGGGCAAGTTCCTCACCCTCTTTTACACAATCATCACTCCAAGTCTCAACCCTCTTGTTTATACCCTGCGGAATAAGGACATGAAGAATGCACTGAGGAAACTCGTGAGAGTTGACCATGAATCTACAAAATTGAAGAGGAACCAGCTTCATGGCAAAATATTACCCTGGATAAGGCAATGAAATATATTTTCTAATTGTCTTTATTTCGTTTTTCGTTGAAGTGTTATTGACATAGAGTGTTACAGTAGTTTCAGGTGTACGCTATAATGATTCAACAAGTCTGTACATTTATCAGTGTTCAACATGATAAGGGTACTCTATATCCCCTTTATCTGTATCACCCATCAATGGCCCTCCTCCTCTGTGGCAAGGATTTGTTTGTTCTCCATGTTTAAGTTTCTACTTTTTTGTTTGTCTCTTTTTTTGTTTGTTCATTTGTTTTGTTTCCTAAATTCCACATATGAGTAAATTCATATGGTATTTGTCTTTCCTGCCTGACTTAGTTCACTTAGCATTTTTCCCTCGAGATACATCCATGTTGTTGCCAATAGCAAGGTTTTGTTCTTTTTATGGCTAAGTACTTTTCCACTGTGTGTATGCATACACTGTTTTCTTTATCTGTTTACCTATGAGTGGTAACTGGGTTGTTTCCTTATCATGCCTAATATAAGTAAGGCTGCAATAAATATAAGGGTTCATATGGTTTCACTTACTTGTGGAGCATAAGGAATAATATGGGGACATTAGGAGAAGGAAAGGAAAAGTGAATTGGGGAAAATCAGAGGGAGAGATGAAGCATGAGAGACTGTGGACTCTGAGAAACCAACTGAGGATTTTGAAGGAAAGGGGATAGGAGGATGGGTGAGCCTGATGGTGGATATTAATTTAAGGAGGGCATGTATTGCATGGAGCACTGGGTGTGGTGCCTAAACAATGAATCTTGGAACACTGAAAAAATAAAATTAAATGAAAAATAAAAACAGGGGTGCCTGGGTGGCTCAGTGGGTTAAGCCGCTGCCTTCGGATCGGGTCATGATCTTAGGGTCCTGGGATCGAGCCCCGCATTGGGCTCTCTGCTCAGCAGGGAGCCTGCTTCCTCCTCTCTCTCTGCCTGCTTGTGATCTCTGTCTGTCAAATAAATAAATAAAATCTTTAAAAAAACAAAACAAAACAAAAACAAAAAAAAAACAAAGAAACAAAAGTTAGTGTTTTGTTTTTGGTTTTTTTTGCTTCTTTGATTTCTTTGGGTAACTCAGCAGTGGAATTACTGAATCATATGGTAATTATATATTTAATCTTTTAAGGAATCTCCATACTCTTTTCCATAGTGGTGCACCAATTTGTATCTCAACCAATGGTGCAAAAAATAGTAGTTTTTTTTTTTACATCAGCCATAGATACATTTTTCTAAATATATTTTCTCTGACAAGGGAAACAAAGGAAAAATTAAACTATTAGGACTACACCAAAATAAAAATGTTTTGCACAGCAAGGAAACCATCCACAAAACAAAACTCAACCTACTCAATGGGAAAAGGTGTTTTCAAATGATATATCCAATAACGGGCTCATACCCAAAGATATAGTGAACTTGTACAACTGAACAACAACAAAAAACCCCAAAAATCCAATTTTAAAAATGGGCAGAGGATCTCAATAGACATTTTTCCAAAGAAGATACAGATGGTCAATGAGTACATGAAAGGATGCTCATGATCACTAATCATCAGCGAAATGCAAATTAAAAGACCAATAAGATACCACTTTTCACCTGTCAGAATGGCTAAAATCAAAAACAGAAGTAACAGGTGTTGGCAAGGATGTGGAGGAAAAGAAATCCTTCTGCACTATTGGTGTGAAATCTGTCTTTACTTTCTACTGAAGCAACCAATCGTGAGACCACCAACACAACTAATAGAAAAGTTCCTGTATATGAACATTCTGTGGATGCAGCAATACTATAACCATCTTACTTAGCTCTATTATGACTCTCATCATTAGCATACCTTCAGAGAAAATCGCTCACTAGGAATTTGTAATTTTGTTTGTAATATTACACAAAGAGGATATAAACATAAACCTGAATACATTTAATTCATTCTAAAGACCCACAGAAACTGTTTTGATGATCTAGTTTTATATTTTCTGTGCTAATGCTTGGATCTTCAGAAATATAGACTTGAGTGAATGGATACATATACAGTATGGTTTGCATATTAAGTAATAATATACAAAATCATGATCTTGTATATTAAATCTCTTGTGATGCCATACAAACTTTTATCAATATCTTGAGTAAATGTCCTTTGTTATTTAAGTTATTTTTTCATTAATGTGATACAAAGAAGTGAGAAGACACAAATTAGAGGGATTAAAATGTGATCAGACCATCTTACTCATTATGTATTCATTCATGAAACATTTATTCCATGACTGTCTCAACCTTATTGGAAAAAAACAATATGATTCCTTTGATATTAGTTAGGATTTGGCTTTGATCTATCTATAGATCTTAGAATTTTATTTATTTATTTTTATTTTATTTATTTATTTTTGCTGTGGACAAGCATTTTTTAAATTTTTTTAAATTTATTTTCAGTGTAACAGTATTCATTGTTTTTGAAAGAATTTATGGAAATATTGAGAAATGTAGATTTGTACATTTTTATGTAGTGTAATTTCTTAAAATGAATAAATGTTTTCATTTCCATTTATCATGCCATAATATCAAGTTTTTTATGGGGAAATGTGATGACTTTTGAATTAAACTTTGACATTTTCTGTGATGGGATACCTCTCTAAAAAACCCATTACTTAATAATTGTAATCAATCAGACATAAAATACTATCTCCTCTGTGGACTCTGAGAAACAAACTGAGTGTTTTGGAGGGGAGGGGAGTTGGGGGTTGGGAGAGGCTGGTGGTGGGTATTAAGGAGGGCACATATTGCATGGCGCACTGGGTGTAGTGCATAAACAATGAGTCTTGGAACACTGAAAACATAAATAAAATTTAAAAAAATTGTCTCCTCTGTCACTTCATAATTCTTGAGACATGAAGAGGGTGAGTCACTGGATAATTTTTACTTTCCCACTCAGAACGACACAGAAATGCCTCACATAATATGTATTGAATGTGGTGTAGAGTATTGCCAGTGTTCTTTCATCCACACAATACCTCCTTCACAGTTGCCTTAAACAGGAAGAGGTAGAACATCTGAACAGACAAATAACCAGGAAGGAAATTGAAGCAGTAATCAAAACCTCTCAAAAGAACAAGAGTCCAGGGCAAGATGGCTTCCTAGGGAGAATTCTACCAAACATTTAAAGAAGAAATAATGCCTATTCTATTGAAGATGTTTCAAAAAATAGAAACAGGAAGAAATCTTCCAAACTCATCTTATGAGGCCAGCATTACCCATATCCCGAACTAGGCAGAGACCATATCACAAAGAAGAATTACAGACCAGTATCCCCAAGGAACACGGATGCCAAGATATTCAACAATGTCCTAGCCAATAGGATCCAACAGTACCTTAAAAGAATTATTAACCATGACCAGGTGGGATTTATTCCTGGATGCAAGGGTGATTCAACTTTCACAAGTCAATCAACCTGATAGAGCACATTAATAAAAGAAGAGGCAAGAATCACATGATCATCTCAATTGACTCAGAGAAAGCATTTGAAAAATACAACATCCTTTCCTGGTCAAAACTCTTCAGAGTGTAGAGATAGAGGGAACATTCCTCAATATCATAAAATCCATCTACGAAAAGCCCACATGAATATCATTCTTAATGGGGAAAAGCTACGAGCCTTTCCCTTAAGGGCAGGAACATGACAGCGATGCCCACTCTCACCACTATTGTTCAGTATAATACTAGAATTGCTAACCTCAGCAATCAGCCAACAGCAAGAAATAAAAGGCATTCAAATTGGCAAAGAAGAAGTCAAACTCTCTCTCTTGGCAGATGACTTTATGTGGAAAACCCAAAAGACTCCACCCCCCATTTACCAGAACTCATATAGCAATTCAGCAATGTGGCAGGATACAAAATCAATGGACGGAGTCAGTGGCATTTCTATACCCTAACAACGTAACTGTAGAAAGAGAAATTAAGGAATCCCTTCCATTTACAGTAATACCAAGAACCAGGAGATACCTAGGAATAAACCTAACCAAAGTGGTAAAGAATCTATACTCTAGAAACTATAGAACACTTATGAAAGAAATTGTAGAAGACACAAAGAGATGGAAAACAATTCCATACTCACAGTTTGGAAGAATAAAGATTGTGAAAATGTCTATGCTACCTAGAGCAATCTACACTTTCAAATGCCATCCCTATCAAAATACCAATGGCATTTTTCAAAGTGCTGGAACAAACAATCGTAAAATTTGTATGGAATGAGAAAAGACCCTGAATCACCAAGGTAATGTTGAAAAAGAAAAAGCTGGGGGTATCACGTTGCCTGATTTTGAGCTTTACTACAAAGCTGTGATCCCCAAGACAGCATGGTACTGGCACAAAAGCACACACATAAACCAGTGAACAGAATAGACCAGGAATGGACCCTCATCTCCATGGACAACTAATCTTTGACAAATCAAGAAAAAATATCCAATGGAAAACAGCAGTCTCTTCAATAAATGATGACGGAAAACTGGACAGCCACATGCAGAAGAATGAATCTCGACCATTCTCTTACACCATACACAAAGATAAACTCACAATGCATGAAAGATCTCAATGTGAGACAGGAATCCATCAAAATCCTAGAGGAGAACATAGGCAGTTACCACTTGGACATTAGTCCACAGCAACTTCTTTCAAGACATGTCTCCAAAGACAAGGGAAACAAAAGCAAGAAGGAACTTTTCAGACTTCATCAAGACAAAAAGCTTCTGCACAGCAAAGGAAACAATCAACAAAACTAAGAGGCAACTCATGAATGGGAGAAGATATTTATAGATGACATTGCAGACAAAGATTTGATATCCAAGATCTGTAAAGTACTTCTCAAATGAACACCCAAAAATAAAGAATCCAGTCAAGAAATTGGAAGGGGAGGTGAACCATGAGAGACTATGGATTCAAAAAACAACCTGAGGGTTTTGAAGGGGCTGGGG